ACATGATGGGTTTTGAAATTTTTAACACATGCCCCACCTTCAGAGGTGGGCGAAGCATGCGACCATCCATCCTCACGGCCTTAATCATGATAGGTTTCAAAATTTTTAACACATGCCCCACCTTCTGAGGTGGTCGAAGCATGCGACCATCCAGTCTCACAGCCTTAAACATGATGGGTTTTGAAATTTTTAACACATGGCCCATCTTACGAGGTGGTCGAAGCATGCGACCATCCAGCCTCACGGCCTTAAACATGATGGGTTTCGAGATTTTTAACACATGCCCCACCTTCTGAGGTGGTCGAAGCATGCGACCATCTAGCCTTACGGCCTTAAACATGATGGGTTTTGAAATTTTTAACACATGCCCCACCTTCAGAGGTGGTCGAAGCATGCGACCGTTTAGCCTCACGGCCTTAAACATGATGGGTTTTGATATTTTTAACGCATGCCCCACCTTTAGAGGTGGTCGAAGAATGCGACCATCCAGCCTTACGGCCTTAAACATGATGGGTTTCTTGCTCCAGGTGGCTCCTTCTTACACCTTTGTCTTTGCACCCGTCCTCTGAGTTTGGCACTCTGCTTGTTTCAATGTCCTTGTCGTCCTTGGTGGGTTCTTCCATATTCTCGTTTTCGTGCATTTTCCCTGATTCCTGTGCCTTGGTCGTGTAGGATCTGTCTTCACACTTGCCCACCCGTGAGGAATGTTCCAAACAGGAGGCCACCTAGCCCGAGGGCGTGAGTAATCAACCAACCTGCCCACCCCAAGGGATGTTCTAAACAAGCGACCACCCAGCCCGAGGGTCTTAGTCATGGTGGGTTTGGGCCTTTACACTTTCCCACCCGCAAGGAATGTTCCAAACAGGAGGTCACCCACCCTGAGAGCGTAAGTAATCGACAAACCTGCCCACCTCAAGGAATGTTCTAAACAAGCGACCACCCAGCCTGAGGGCCTTAGTCATGGTGGGTTTTGGTCTTCACACTTGCCCACCCGCGAGGAATGTTCCAAACAGGAGGCCACCCAGCCCGAGGGTGTGAGTAATCGACCAACCTGCCCATCCCCAGGGATATTCTAAACAAACGACCACCTAGCCCGAGGGCCTTAGTCATGGTGGGTTTGGGTCTTCACACTTACCCACCCGCGAAGAATGTTCAAAAAAGGAGGTCACCCAGCCCGAGGGTGTGAGTAATCGACCAACCTGCCCACCCCAAGGGATGTTCTAAACAATCAACTTCCAAGTTAAACCACACCATATACATCTTGTCATTCAAATCACACTTACCCACCCGCGAGGAATGTTCCAAACAGGAGGTCACCCAGCCCGAGTGCGTGAGTAATTGACCAACCTGACCACCCCAAGGGATGTTCTAAACAAGCGACCACCCAGCCCGAGGGCCTTAGTCATGGTGGGTTTTGGTCTTCACACTTTCCCACCCACGAGGAATGTTCCAAACAGGAGGCCACTCAGCCCGAGGGCGTGAGTAATCGACCAACCTGCCCACCCCAAGGGATGTTCTAAACAATCAACTTCCAAGTTAAACCACACCATATACATCTTGTCATTCAAATCATACCAACATTCCAAGCATAAGAAAATGTGAAATAAAGCAGGTAATATGGAAGGATTACTGAATTTCATTAACTTTTTGAGTAAACTTTGCAATTTACATCCTTGTTCAAATTCTCTAGCTCTCTTTGAAAAAAGCAAAAAATTTTACACATAATATTTTTTCAAATTAGCTATGTTCCATGACCTTGCAAGTGATCGGCCTTCTGCGTCCTTCAGCGAGTACGCTCCTCCTGCGTGCACTTGATCCACAAGGTATGGCCCCTCCCAGTTCGGCTCTAGCTTTCCCACATGTTTGAGCACATCGACACGTTCCCAAAACAGGTCACCTACTTGGAGACTGCGAACTTTCACCTTCTTGTCATGAGCGGCTCGCATTCTTTGCTTGTACACCTCCACTCTAACCGCTGCTCTCTTGCACAGCTCCTCAATAGTGTCCAAAGCCGCATCACTATATCTTCGTTTTTCTTCGGGTCATATGTGCTCGACCTCTGCGATGATAGTTCGACCTTGATTGGCAGCAATGCCTCCATCCCATAGACTAAACTGAAGGGTGTTTCTTCCGTTGTCGACCTGGGAGTTGTGCGATACGCCCAAAGTACTGAGGTTAACTCATCGACCCATGCCTCTAAGGCCTTTTTCAGCCTTGTTTTCAGCTCGTTCAGTATAATTCAGTTAGTTACCTCGACCTGGCCATTAGCTTGCGGATGAGCGACTGAGGCAAAGTGTTGCTCGATTTTCATATCTTCACACCATGCTCGAACCCGCTTGTCATTGAATTGAGTACCATTGTCGGATATCAACACTTTAGGGACGCCAAATCTGCAGCAAATATTGTTGTATAAAAATTTGATGACTTTCTTCTCTGTGATATTTGCCAAGGGCTCGGCCTCCACCCATTTCGTGAAGTAATCCACCGCCACGAACAAGAATTTCCTCTGCCACGTTCCTTATGGCATCGGCCCCACCAGGCCGATTTCCCACTGGGCGAAGGGTATAGGAGCACTCATCGTTGTCATCGCCTCTGCCAGTTGATGGATAAGTGGGCCATGCTTTTGGCATTATAAGCATTTCTTCACCATCACCTTCGCATCCTCTTTCATCATTGGCCAGAAGTATCATGCCCTCAGAATTTTTGCGACCAATGCCCCCGACTTGCTATGATCACTGCAGCACCCTTCGTGCACTTCTCTCAACACATACCGACCTTTGTCCTTAGTCACACAACGTAAATGTGGTCCAGCATACGACCGCTTGTAAAGAATGCCTCCGTGCTTAAAAAATCTCCTCACCGCCTTCATCGCCCCTACTTTCAGCTCCTCTAAGATCGAGGCCCTCTAATCCTCCACGTCCTCAATCTCCGCCACTTCCGCCTCGACCACACTTCTCTCTAGATGCAATAGAGTAACACTTCTGCTCTTACAGTCCACCAGACTTTGAGCAATTTTCGATAACAAATCTGCTCGACCATTTTCTCCTCGAGGGATCTATATTAGCTCGAACGAATCAAACTCCTCTTTCAACTTTCTCATCCCATCGACATATTTTTGCATCCGGTCCTCCTTGACTTTAAATAATTTCTTGAAACTTCCCGACTACAAGCTGAGAGTCAGAATGTACCTACACCTTTCGGGCTCCTCCCGCCATAGCCAACTGCAGCCCTTTGATCACTGCCTCATACTCAACCTCATTATTGGATATCTTGAATCCCACTTTGGCTGCGAACTCTAAGTAATCGCCCTTATGGGAAACAAGCACAATCCCTAATCCGCCCCACTTCTCGCTACCGATCCATCCACAAACAACTGCCATATCCCTCCAGGTTCCTCCTCGATTTTCGTGCCTTCCTGAATGAAGTCTGCCAACACCTTCGCTTTTATAGCCCTCCTCGGTTCATACAACAACGAGTATTCACTCAGCTCGAACTTCCATTTTACCAATCGACCAGAAACCGATGGCCGGCCGAGCGTTTCTCCTAATGGCTTGTTTGTTCTCACCTTCACCTTATGATTCAAGAAATAAGGCCTCAGCTTTCGACCAGTCACTACTACTGCCAGAGCACACTTCTCAATCTCCGAATACCTCATCTCCGCTCTCTGTATCACCCTGCTCACGTAATAGATAGGGAACTGCGCGACCCCTTCCTCTCGCAATAACACCAAACTCACAGCTCTCTCCCCGATAGAAATGTACAACACTAGATCTTCACCTGGCACCGGCTTGGCCAACAGAGGTAGGTCGGGTAACACTCCTCGCAACTCGTCAAATGCCCTTTGAGCCTCCTCTGTCTACTGGAACTTCGCACTCTTCATCAATGTTTTAAATAACAAACAACTACTTTCCACTACCTTTGATATGAAATGGCTCAGCCCCGCAATTCGACCAGCCAAGATCTGCACCTCCTTAACATTCGTTGGGGACTTCATCTCCATCACCGCTCGAACCTTCTCTGGATTCACCTCGATACCTCTTTTGGTCACCAAGTATCCCAAGAACTTCCCCGACTTCACCCCGATCG